AAATAAAAGTGTTAACTTACCAAATAATGGCGTTGTGTTGATACTTTCAGCAGTCTTTAGGTTAAGTCGCAAAAGTCGATTTTTCTTCTTTTTTGAAAATACTTTTTGTAAATATTCAATAATATCTTCAGGCACAAGAATGATATGTATTTATTTTCAATCTTAATTAAATCTTAATGATTATTTTGATATCTTATAAGAACAGTTTAATTGCACATTATTCAGTCATGTATTGCTTCGTTGTTTCTTTATTAACTTCGATAACATAGTGTTTGTTCAAATATTTGTTTATATAGTTTATTTACAGCGTAAAACTGACCAAATGCAAATAAAACACTTCATTTTGCAATCAAATTACGTTCAGGTTATGGCGGCTTCTTGACTTGAGGTTGGATAATAAAAGGTTAAGATCTTAACACACTCAGAAACATAAATTGCTCACTTGAATATAATTAAAACATTAAGAAACACCTATAATATTCTAGTTTACGTGTTGTATGTTTTGATGATATTGTATTTGATCGCAATAAAGCGTGCTAAAATGTCACAGTTGGAATTGTCAAATAAGCCGCACATGCGCATTACAACCCTTCGTTTTGACAGAGTGCGTTAAAGGCAAAGTCGATAAAACAGTGTCTTGTGTACTTCAAATACCTACTCTTGAAGCTGTAATATTAAAACCTATACTTAATCATGCTATTAGCTGTCGCCTGCGACTAATCCGCAAAAAAAACTTAATTACTACCCTATCAGCCTTACAAATAAACGCGGTATAAAGTTAAACTTAGGAATAAACAAAGTATAAGCAAATATTAGTTCAAATTTTGCTTATACTCAGTTTATTCCCAAGTTAAACTTCATAGCGCGTTCATTTGTAAGGCTGTGTCTGTTCTTCCAGATTGTGTTCTATATTTGCGCTTAATTTCATCGAGGTCTGTTGAGCAGTTATAAAGATTTATTCTAACAAGCTTCGATTCTTATATTTAAACTTTCACATTTATATTAGTGAGGTAAGATTTATTTAATCGATAATCTAATCAGTGTCTTCTGGCAGGTTAGTATTGATGTGGGTTTCCTCAGTCACTCACCGGAAAGTTCACGTCCAAATGTTAAGAAATCTAAAAGATAAACGAAATATCGTACCACCTAGATTCTAAAACGTTTTTAATTAAAAAACGAAGAATATTGTAAATTCTTCATACATTTTAAATATTATAACATTCAACTAACACAGTGACACGCGATCACAGGGCAACGACAGCAAACCTTTGTTATATCGTCAACAGCAATTAACACGCCATGAATACATAAACAGAAAAAAGATAATGACTCGCACCCAATTTGGATACAGCTGTATGCGGCGTTATCTACGTGCTTCTAGGAAAGGTAACTTGCTAATACACAGGGGATCCAACCCGGTTTTGCATGGCTAACTGAGTACAGAATTTTCATATTATAATTTAACTAAAGGGTAAACAACTCAGGTCGTTTGCATTGTTTCTCATTAAAAAATCATTAACTGTAATCATATAATTTAATCAGATTTCACTCAAACAATATTTCGATAGCTATAGACAGTTATCGCATAGTTCTATTATTTAGTAACAAAACAGTCTGAATTGTGAGAGCAATAAATATTCCTTTATAGTTCTTTGTAAGTAGGCAATGACTCGGAACCTGGTCTGTATCGTAGCATTATTGTAATGTACAAAACTGGGCACGACTATGATTCTACTAAATCACCGATCCTTAGTCACTACAACTGTGTATCGTATATTATAGTAGGTATAGGGAGGGGCAGAATAATCTATAAATATAATAAAATTGGAGTGTCTGTTTGTAATATCAAAAGAATTCCAGACTACGGAAAGTTGCCTTACTGATAACGAAAATCGCATTTCAAATTTTTGTCGGCCTGTCTGCCCGAAATTCGCGTCAACAATTGATACAAACATCTATCATCAAATTCCAGAGAAAAGACCAAACGTTATACGATATATTGTTAATCCAAATAGCGGCATATTGTTTAACAACTATGAATTAAGAGCATCCTTGAGCATTTGTAGCCGTTAATAGAAACAATTAGAAATCCAACTCCAACATCGTTGCGTGCTACCAAAAACAATTAGCACTATTACGATCTTGGTTCTCTGGTCAGAAGCCACTTACCACTATTAGCATTCAAGTCCAACATTCTAATAGCTATATTATTTCAGTTAAATGTTTACGTTTATTTATGGTAACTGTAGATCAAATATTGTGGGTAGACAAGCAATCTTTCTCTATTGCCTCTTAAACTGAAGTTGAAATGTTACATAAAGACTTGTGGTGACCAGACTTATTTTTCTGTTAGCTGCTATTATAACATTAAATTAAAATGATATGGGTTATGAAAACAACATATGATAGCGTACGGCGCGCGCGCAATTCAATCTGCGCATCCAAGATGGCGTGCATAGCGCACGAAGCACGCGCCGTGTCCGTCTCGGTTGACCGGCCAAGCATGGACCGTTTTTATACATAAACATTGTTCGCAGAGAAATCGACGGGCGTAACAACGGCCATTGTTGTATGCCATTTTAAACTCGGTGAATATTAGAGCGTGTTAAACTTTAATTATTTATATCGATATCAGAATAATCCTAACTTTAAAAACTATTCTAAATTGCACGTGGCTTTAGGTTTCACCTAACTTTTGTAAGTCTAGGTTACAAGTTGAGCTTACTAGTTTTAAAATAATACAATTATTGATTAGCCATTAGACGGCTCGATGGCTATAATTTATTAAGGGTCTGTCCACCACTGACTGATAGCGACTCAGATAGCTTAAAAATGACGTCACTGTCAGATAAGGGAACAAAATCCGATATTTCCATCATATATTTTACACGTTGGATTTGTTAGATATTTCCACAAATGACTTCCTTCAAAATATAGACGGACGGCCATTTTAACAATACTTCTAAATTACTTTAAAACAAACAAACTGAACTCCAGTCGGCAACGCAAATATATCGAACGTTTCGTAGTGACGACTAGTAAAACACTGAACTTGTTGGCGACTGAACGCCGAGACTGCAACTGAGCGCGAATCACTCCTTGCCATATATTTTATAAAACTACCTCCCACTATCCCTTCCTAATATTTTCCCAACAACATTGTTGTTTTAAATAAAGATAAATGTATTGATAAATAGTACAGATTAACAAATAACTTTTAATAATACAGAAAGCATCAAAAATAGTTAAAAAGCTAACAGATTGTTATAACACAATTTACAATTTGGTGGGACAGGCCTATGGCCTACTAAGATAACTTTTAAGTAAATACACTACAAAGAAAACGTATTTGTATTCATAAAACTCAATTTCCTGAAAATTAGAATCACAGTGCTGATATTCTTCCAAAGAGTCTGCTCATTCATGGGTAAGTTCAAAAAATCTAAAATATCCTTACAAAGACAATTTTTTTTAAATATTAGTCTTTACTTCAAACATAATCTGTCTTTACGGTCTAGTATAAATAACATTTCCGATAAAATACAATTTTGTAATAGTTCCTGTTAGAGTCTATTCAGGCAAGTCGTTTTAAATAACACATATCTATGCGCATATGCAATAAACCCGCATGTTATACGAAGCAGTACCTCATTATCGATCGGCATTGTTTAGTTCCATTTCTTAGTTAAATAGAGTAAGATACTAATGTAAATATATGTACCTACTACACATGTTCTAGAAATTTCAACGGAGTCATTTTTATCTGAATGCCAATATTCTCCACTTGCTTGCTCGAAACTGTGTAAACTTTTGCATTAACTTAACCAGACCTATTAAAAGCCTTTGTATTATTGCGTACATGTATAAAAACTAATATATTCGAGCATATTCAACAGTTATGTAATAAAGAAGTCCACTGAAACGCCTCTAGGCCACGATTTTTCAAAACAAAGTACTAAATCCGTCTGTATATTTTTTTATATTCTTGTTTAGGCTATACACGTTTCGACATTGAAAACTGACGGTGTTTACGCGTTATCTAATGACTATTCTTTCTATTATAACGGAATATAAAATCAAGCAACGAGAACTAAGGAGGGGTCATAAAATTAATTATGTGTAAAATGTCAGCCGCTACCCCTTGGAAGGCATGGTACGAAGCGACTTGATTGCATGTGACTTAAAAAACATCAAATGAAATATTTAGTAAAAGAAAATGGACAATATTTCTAACATGATAAATATTAAATTTGTTGAACTTCAACATAAAAAATGAAAATATTATTTTTGTTTGCATGTAACGAAAGAGAATTTGAAAGACTTGAAAGTGGTCAAGCGCTGGTTTTTTGCAATTTAAGAAAAAAAAAAAGACTTTAAGTAGAATAGACTATATTTAATATTACATAAAAAAGTAAATGTTAACTCGTGCCAGGTCAAATCTGTTATCTAAAAAACGGAGGACTTTAGAACCTTCATAAAACCTGGGCTTGTTCAAGTCAAAGTGTATTTTCCAGTTACTGTGAACGTGTTCGAGGAAACTTTAACACTATATTTCAGCCTTGCGATACAACATTTCTTGTAAAACGATAATTTGTTAATATCTAGATTGCATGCTTCAAAGAAGACACGCGATCGCGCAATTTCAATTTGATTTTTTAAACTTACTATTCCTAGATATTTAAAAATGACTTTACTAGTATTCTTGTTTGTTACTATGTTTAATGTCTAATGTCTTTTCTATAAAAAAAAAAATTGTCTGCAATGGACAGCCTTATCATTTTCGACTTTGATCGAAAATACATACCGATTTTTTGTAAAATGATGGAAAGAAAAGTTTTCGCTTTCTGTGTGTCCCCTAATACATCCATAAAATGTAGGCAACTCTATCGTTTTGCTATTACGGCAAATCCAGTAATGTCGTTTTGCTATTTCAGCAATTCCGATAATAGAAGAAATATCAAGGGATATATAAAAAATACCACAGTGTATTGTTTTTCATGTTTATTTGGCATTTATTTTAAACTTAAAAGCAATTATCACGTCTCTAAGTTCATACTTATCTTCTACATCTATGTTCATGAGAAGGTGTACACAAATGTATTTAGATTTTGAGAATATTCATACATCACTTAGCTATTATTATTTTCAGTAGCATTAGTTGAAATTGCAACTTCACTTAAAATATAGAGGTAGTTTAAAACATAAAGCAAAACGATCTATATGATTCTTTGTGGTTTTAAAGTTGGTTTCTTATAGAAGCAATGAAAATAAAGTATTAAATATATATATAATTTCACCAAATAGTTTATTCCAGAGTCTTTTTTACAAATACATAACATTTATATTTTAACTTTATTATATTTTTATTACTTTTGCTAGTGTTTTGTTGTATAAAAAATTTCCATGTTAATTCTCCAAACATGAGTATAGTGTACTAAAACTGCCTAATTAGGTCTTTCTCAAAGTAATCATGGTAACTTAGTTTATATTTAACAAGGGTTTATATCGCCTGTGTGTATTTTTGAAACTATACCCATTTGTAGACAATATATGTAAATTTTTGAAGCAAAGTATTATAAGATTCATACTTTTGTAGTAAAGGTCATCACTTTGGCATATAGACAGAGAGTAAAATATTGAAGCGGGCATATGTCAAACTAAATTATAACAGCTCACAACTATATAGATAAGAAGGCAGTTGGTATATTTGGGAACTAACATCATCTTGAAAATGTCATATTTTGACAAATGTGGGAGCGGCGACTGCGCGGCTGAGTGTCGATTTTTTTATTTAACATATGGAGGATTAAATTACCTAAGTAACTATAAACTAGGTGACTGAGAGCCAATAAAAAGTCTTCACTTGTAGCAGAAACAAACGACAGGTACTACAACTAGCTATTAAATAGTTAGTTACAGTAACAGTTCATGTTTTAAATAAAAAAAGGCAAGAGCTAAGTGACTTCTTGTATATGCCGTGGACATACTCATTGTATGTGGATTGAGATTGTCCTGCTTACAGATTGTTGAAAATTTTGCCTATAATTTGATGCCTTGAGTAAAAACAGATGCGGTGTGGAACGAATTGATTTACATGGAACATTGTATAACTTCAAAATTCCATAAAATATCATGCTGATAAAACATGTACCTTTATTCACTTACACTTACGATTACTTGGTATAGGCAATTCTGAACAAAAAGCATAAAGTTTACAATTTAGATATATCATTTTAAATTGTAACCACTAACTACAGGCACTTAATTCAACTCAAATTTGTATAGTTTGGTTTTGATTTGTTCCTGTGTGAATTTCAACAAAAGTGTTTATTTTTGTTTTCAAGATAACTGTTAGTTTACAAAATTGCCAACTACTGTATAATCCTTGTAGGTCTATAATATAATTTAGTCTGATTATATCTGAGCTGTCATAATTTAGTGTCACCTATGCTCTTATCAGATAACTTTGTCCATCTATACATTAAAAACATTTCTCTAATAAATACTAAAACAAAATGTACAATATTTACTTAAATCATTACCATGATATCCACGGGGGTTGGTTCATTTTGTTTATAGGTACATGAGTCATATTAACTGGTAGATTAATTACAGCATAGCTCCTGTTCAGTTTTTTTAAAGTTCTGAGTATTGTTGCACCACTTCGACCTAGGAGGAAAGCGGCAGGTATGTTAACATTCAATTCCATCCTGAAATAACATAGACCAAGTTATAATATATTTTAGATATTATAAAAAAATTGTAGCCTTCATTTACAAGTTCAGAAGAAGCTGCATAATCATCACCTTCAAGGCATTAAATTCTGACTCTGACATTTATTGTCACTATTTTTTTACAACTAATGACAAGGACAGAAATATGATTTTATCTTTTTCAGTGGAAAATAATAACCAACTATAGTGCTATTGATGTCATAATAATGATAATAATGTAATAATAGTAATAATAATAATAATAATAATAATAATAACACAATTATGCAATGTGAGAAACTCAGTATAATTTTAAAAAAACACTAAAAACTAACTAATAATTTTTTCATACACATTTATTTCAGTAGACCTAGAAAGTGATATCCATCTCTAGTTGCATAGATTGTGTTAAAGGTCATATGATCAAGACAAAGTGGTAACATATGTCTGGAGGACGAAAACCCAGTGCACCAACCCTACAGGAGTAAGATAGGTATTGAAGATGACAATTTATTTTAGTGGTTTTTCTCTGTATTTTTTCTTATTACCTTTTACACATAAATTTGTGGACTTTCAGATGTGATTGTGATCAAAATTTTGGTTTAGGAATACCAATCATACTTCATACTAATATTATAAATGCGAAAGTTTAGATGGATGGATGTTTGTTAGAGTTTGTGGCCTAAACGGCTGAACCGATTTTGATGAAATTTGGTATGGATGTAGAGGATAGTCTGGAAGAACACATAGGCTACTTAGTTTAGTTTTTTATTCCACGTGGATGGAGTCGTGAGTGAAAGCTAGAATTAAATAAAGGCAACATTACAATTTAAGTATTAAGGGCATGTCCCACCAAATTTTAAATTGTCTGATATCAATCCAACATGTAAAATATGTGTGAAAACATCAATTTTATTACCTTATCTGAAAGTGACATTATTTTTAAGCTATCTTAGCTTCTATCAGCCAGTGGTGGCACTTCCTTAACTGTTACATAACTTTTTGCAAAAAAGTCCTTTACTCAACTTACTTGTCATCCACCATCTCTATAAGATGATCCAATGTGTCATCCCACATATCTACTGATTCGGTTATAATGATGGCCCGAGCTCCAGCCTGTTGCGCTTTCACTGTCTTGTAAACAAATGAACATTCTCTGTAATTAGAAAACACTACATTGGAATATTGAAAAATAATCAAGATTTTAATTATATTGCTATATTGTTTCCAAGGTATCCTAAGATTTAACCCACCATTCATTTGTAAATTTCAGCAGCATGTTTAATATAGTTTTTCTCAGATAGTGAATTGTGAGTTACTGGGATTAACATCTATACTTATATCATAAATAATAACGATTAGATTGTTTATTTATATATACATGCTGTAAACAAATACTAACCCTCTTTCAGATAATGCAATATGTCCAAAAACTTCTTCATTATTTATTATATCACCGCAACTGTGCAGTGGTAAAGTAGGGACTAGACGAGTTTTCTCAAACTGAAGACTTTCATTCTAAAACAAATAAATTAAAGCATAAAATATAACATTACAATAACCAAGCACATTTTTATGTTTTCAATATTATAGCACACTTTACTTTGTCAAAACAATATACTATTACGACTTACGAAGGTTGCGCCGAAATCCTTGGCCGGTCTAATACGATATGAGTATCGCAACTCGGGTGGATCAATAATTTCGAAAAATACATCTCCTGCAATAACATCGGCAATTGATGCACCATCATTAAAATGTAAGTCATTTGCTGTGAAAATAAAAAAGAAAATGATAATAAACATAAGAATATGATAAACATACATGAAAATTTTATAAAAATGCAATTGCAACAAATTTACACATATGTATGAGAATCTGAAAGGTTCGATGATAGCATAAAAAATATTTACTTACCTCCTGGTGATGCTACATTCACAAATATAGAGACGAATATAAATGAATATAACTGAAAATAGGTGCAAGCATTTAAATATTTGTAAAACATAATCATTTCAAATTACATTACAGTCAGTGTCACTGTCAATCGATGTCACCATGACAGCGACAGCAATTACAATTTCCATGGAGGTAATAAGAACTACGTACAACAGGAGCGTGTTCTTTCTGTACATTTTGCAGTTAAAATAAAGAAAATAAAACCTCATGAAAAGGGCGTAAGAGTCTTGTTGTACGCAAAATAAATTGAACCCAAGTGAGAGGGTATTCAAAAGTGTCCAATATTTTCCTTTCTAACAGTGACGTAGAGTTGCCAGATATTAATCCTTTCGTGATTTGTAGAAAAATAGGCAATTGATGTAAAATAATGCAGTTAAAATATTTACTTTCAAATGTTTCTAAATGTTGATAACAATTTATTATTGACCTGTTAAAGTGATATAATTTGTTGCTAAGAGTAAAACCTTATTAACATAAAAATTTTAGGATTGGCATACATGTTTTCTTTTATTTGTATGAAATTCGGACACCTTAACTGGCAATCCGACATGACATCCCGACTCGGACGTGAATGGCGGAGTCTTTTTTGATTTCGTGATATTTTTGAAGAATTTGTGCCGAAGCGAGTATTATGCTAATTGTGTAATACAAGAACAAATAGCTTAAACACTGATGCATTTATTTATTCCTTTCTCTATTAAAATAACTTTGTTTTAATTTCAGATTAAAGATATGAGGAATAAGCTAGGTTTGCTTTATAAACTTCACAAGACTTTTATTTAGTACTGTCTGATTTAGAGTTATGTATTTTGTATTGTTTAAAAAAAATACATTATTGATAACACTGATACGTTCAAATCCATCTGAAGCAATAATCAGCTGACGTTAGACAACAAAAACAAGATTTTTTGTAATTTTTGCCCTTAAATCATATTTCAACATCGTCACCATAGAGTGATAAAACGCACAGTTATTGAGGTCTTGCTCGGCTTCATTTTTTCGATAAGATCTCTGTCCTGTCGTAGTATCAGACTATAGTCTATACTAATATTATTAAGAGGAAAAGTTTGTATTTATGTATGTATTTGATTCACGCAAAAACTACTAGGCCGATTTAAAAAATTCTTTCACCATTAGAAAGGTAATTTATTTGTGAGTAACATAGGCTATATTTTAATTTTACGCGGGCAAAGTCGCGAGCAACAGTTAGTTTTCTATATAAATAAGGTAGATTAGTTAAGTTAGTATTTTTGGTTAATTTTGTATTTGCTATTGTTCTTAATTACTTTTATATGACTTTTAAAACTAACCGTAATTTTAGTTTTAATACGAATACCGCCCGATTGGGAAATCCCTAGTTATTATGCATTTTTGGAGAAATAAGAAAACGGGCTTGTTTTTAAAAAAATCTGCAGACCAAGTTCCATAACGATTTTTTTTTTCGTTTTTAAGGCATTTCAATGCATTAGAATCTCGAAAAATATTAAATCAAAATGGTTCTTTCGCTCGCATTTTTTAATTTAGACAGATAAGCGATGTTTTTATGTTGTAAAATAATCAGGGTTTACTGGTTTTTATAAATCCAAAGAAAAAATGAAGTTATTATTGATAAGTATACATTTTTAAATAGTTTTTTTAAGTTGCAATTTCGACTTTTTTTGAAAGAATTAAAAAATTCCCTCTATCACTTCCTAACGAGAATACGTCTAATTACCAATAACCCTATATAATATGGATGTAATTCATTACGTCCAAAGACTATGTCCCGATTTGTCCCTTATGATGTGGTCCAATTAAAAAACGCTACGCTTACTGGCTTACATTTTTAATTTCACCTGACTGAAGTCAGATATAATTAAGTTATAGCCTATAACCGGGACAGTACCACATAGTCTGCAAAGTTCCACTATATTTAAATTCCATTTTACGCATTTCATTTTGATTGAAAAAAAAAGTAACCACGATTTTGAACTCGACTTGTTTTATTTTTAATAATTTTATTGTATACTGTAATTACCGTCCAAAAAAATTAATTAAACAAAGAACCATGTACCCGCTATTTGAACCAAATCAGTTTTCTTTAAAATATTATTCAATGCCTAAACGGAACGGTTTTTGATAATGTTACAAGGATTTAAATATGTCCCGATTTTTAGGGAATTTGCAACAACTCTTCCCAAGTGCGGGTTGGTTGACTTTTTATATCTTTGGATTTCTTCGTCGATATGTGTAGGTTGCATCACAATATTTTCCTTCGTCGTAAGAAAGTCGGGTAAATTATGTACATGTGAAAAATCCAAATCATATTGGTACATGACGGGATTCGAACACAAGATGTGTATATCACAAGCCAAGTGTTTAAACCACTGAGCCAAATGTTAACGCAAACATAGAATCTTTGGTAATTTTTTGTGCTTGGTTGTAGGGAAAATTGCATTTTTGAGGAGGTTGTACTGAAATGACAGATTGCTATATTTCAGATGAGATTGTATTGTATGCTGTGGTACTGTGATTGTATATGTTTGGTGACCGTTTATAGTTTACTTCATTACCTCTTTTCTATTGTTTTCGTTGGTGCATATTCCTTATTTGCAAAATGTACGTTTAATAAGTTGCCGGCAATCCGCGAAATCGTTGTGGATTTATCTAAAAAATACATTTTTTAGGAGATTTTGTAGTACAAAATAGCAAATTTCTTTGTGTACAAGTTATTGATCCAAATTTTTGGTAAGTTTCTAGAGATCTGTGTTAAGTTGCTTTATTCATTATAATTTCTACCAAGGTTCGCAAAAATTTTGAGTGTAATCGTTCTAAAATGTTCTCAAGTTACGTACGAATTATAAGCTCTATCTATATACAATTCAACTTTCCTATCTGTTGCATCATAATTTCAGGCTTTCTCATGAAGAACTTAAAAGTTTCCATTTCACAATTCTGGACAATACTTTTTATTCAGACTTTTCTGTATTCAAAATTGTTCATTTCTTTTTAACATGTTTTCGCTTATGAAAAAATTGTTACTTAATATTTATTGTCTTACTTTGAAATTGCTTTGGCTAGCACTCATGATTGTGCATAGTGTTTGTGTGTGTAATGGTAGGTATTCCTCCTAGACATATCCTAGACCATTGGCAGACGATAGCCATAATGATAGTATGATGTAAAAAATAGTCTTAAGTACATTTAGTGCTTCTACAATAATGTAAATGGACATGCTGAGTCCAGCACACAACATTGTAAAGAATGTAACCATAATAGAAAATAAAATTTCTATTTTGTTTCTGTTTTTTTAAATTCATAACATAGTTTGGTGCATATTTTTGAATGCTTTTTTTTAGTAATTGATGACTGGTGATGTGTAAACATAGATTTTGTACAATCATGGTATTTTTATTATTAGATCACAATGGAGGAACCACCCTCAGAAGAAAGTTTAAACTCACGATCGTATCAGACACAACTAGAAGAAATTGCATCAAGGAAAAATACAATAATTTATCTACCAACAGGTACTTATTCTGCAATTATATGAAAATGTCTTGATTTATTAACTTTTCTAAAAAATACTATTGTTTTAAGGATCTGGAAAAACCTATATTGCTATTAGTCTTATTGGAAGGTTCAAGAAAAGTTTGAGCGGAGAATGGGGGAGTGGTGCAAAAAGAACCTTTTTTCTGGTCAACACAGTGCCATTGGTGCAACAGCAGGTAAAAATACCTTATTTTTTTTGTTATTAATAAAGTTATTGTTCTGGTGTTATTCAAGTAAGGCTGTACAGATAGCAATTATTGTGTTCATAAGAAATTTTGATTTTGTTTAAAAATTAATTTAAATTAGTCGAATAATACTTTAATTTTTAGACAATCTATCAATACATTTTATTTCATATCTATTTTTCTTAATATACAGATCAAAAACTTTGAGGAGGTAGAGGACTTCAATATATATTGTTTAAGTGCAAAGTATCTTTCCTGATGTTCCATGAATTGAAAGTTGTTTGTTTTTATATGAATATGTATAATTATTAATGTGTCCAGTAAAAAATAGTACCCAGAATACTCTGTGATTATTAGGCAGTTTCTGAACTATTAATGCTTATCCTTAAATTATTTTATAACTAGCTTTTGTCTGTGACTTCTTCTGCATGGAACTTAAAACAACAAAAGTGAGTAGTAGCCTATATGTTCTTCCAGAATATCCTTCATGTGTATGCCAAATTTTATTGAGATCCATTCAGCTGATTAGGCTCCAAACTCTAACAAACATCCATCCATCCATCGAAGGTTTATTTCACATTTATATTATTAGTAAGATGTTTGTTATTTTTTTTAGCAAAAATGTATAATGGACTTGTGCCCTGTTAATAAAGTTGCCGGTTATAGTGGTGAAGATAGAGTTGATGTCTGGAACAAAAATAAGTGGGACCAGGAACTAAGTAATAATGAGGTAATTTAACCATTAATATAATAAAAAAGTGACAATTAACAACCAAACTAGTCTATATTTGCATTTTTCTAGGTTATAGTGATGACAAGTCAAATCTTATGTGACATGATAACACATAAGTACATTGAGGTAAAAGATATAAATCTATTGATTTTTGATGAATGCCATCATGCAATAGAAGACCATCCAATGCGAATGGTGATGAAACACTTTGAAGCTTGCCCAAAAGAAGAACAACCCAGAGTGCTAGGTAACTAGTGTTATGTGATTGTGATACGATACTTCTGTGGCATAAATTAATCTTACTAATATTATAAATGCGAAAGTTTAGATGGATGGATGTTTGTTAGACTTTGTAGCCTAAACGGCTGAACGGATCTCGGTGAAATTTGGCATATATGTAGAGGATAGTCTAGAACACATAAGCTACTTTTGTTTTTTTTATTCTACGAGGACGGAGTCGCAGATGAAAGCTAGTGAACTTATAAATTACTTATCTCTAAAAGAGTGCAAGGACAATTAAATTATATGTAAGGGATATCAGGTGTGTTAAACAAAACTGCTGAACTATTCTAGGTTTGACGGCTACACTTCTGAATTCAAACATCACCCTGTATAAGGTTGAGGAATCATTGCGGCAATTGGAAACGACTTTCCATGCAACCATCGCTACTGTAAATGAGTTGGGAGAAGTTTTAACGTAAGTATTTTTAATCGTAATACACAGAAATTGCTAATAATAGTATTACTTGAGTTTTTTTTTATTTTTAATTCCTCGCGAACGGAGTTCAGTGTAAAAACTTTTTATATAGGTGTCAGCAGTTACGGCATAATTTTTGAAAATAGAATATAAAACTCCCTACAATATCAGTAAATAAGCAAGGTTGCCATTGTAATAGTGATTCTTAGCCAATGGCAAAGATCTTTATTGTCACTTGAACATCCGAGTTTTGACAAAATGTAAAGAATAAAATAAAGTTTTATAATTCCACGAGCTTTCGCCCGCGACTCCGTTCGCGTGTTATTTAAAACACAAAAGTGAGTAGCCAATGTGTTCTTCCAGACTATCCTCTACATCTATATCAAATTTAATCGAAATTCGTTCAGCGGTTTAGGTTACAAACTAACAAACATCCATCCATCTAAATATTTACAAGTTAAGCAACTCGGATTGGGCAAGCATGGTTGACTATAGCTAGGTCAGCCCACTCCTTGTAGAATGTGAATACTGATTATGTGTTCACTTTCAGTTACTCGACGAACCCGACGGAGTTCGTAGTGCCTTACACCACCTACACAATTCCTATAATCGCCGAAGAAGCTCTCACTCTGCTAAACGAACTCAAATCTTTAGTTGAAAATGTAAAAATTCCAAACGTTCAAAGAAGCGATGTTAAATTGAAAATGGGACAAATTGACATAAAAGATCTTTCTAGAAAGGTTGGTTTCATTAAAACATCATTATCGACATCGTCGTTTTTTTGTCTACAGTTATATCTGGTTTGAATAAACGTTTTTCGACTAAATTATTCTTTTATCAACACATTCATTTGTAATAATATATTCCTAGATATATTTCTTTTTTATGTTTTACTGGAAAGATGTGATAACTAGGAATTGTTTACATTCTATTTATACGATAAGTATACAATTCCGAATCTGTTCTGGCAATGTGTAAAATATTATTTCGAAGGATATAAAATCTCCCTTATGCTATGTATTTAAAGACTGATCCAGTATGAATATTGTCAAATAAAAATGAAAATTATAAAACCACAGGATAAACGCTGCTTTAATTGCTATTACAAATTTTCTTTCAGATTGTGAAAGAAGTAAGAAACATGATTGTATCGATTGAACAGTTTATTGCAGAATTAGGCATTTATGGTGGTAATTTAAGTATAATCGCTTATATTATTCTGTTGGAACAATTAAAGAGAAAAGCTGTAACAATAGAAGAAGACAATTTATACCGCTTCACAATAACACATCTTGTTGAGTAAGTTTACAATGTGAAACTGTGTTTGGGTGATTTTTGTCTGCAATTTTTATATTAATTATCTGTTGTATAGGTTTTCTTCTATAAGAATAATGATTCTAGCTTGGTGCTGTGGTTGTGGACACAGTAATGGCGCGCTTAGCGCGACCTCGTTGCGCGCGGTTTCCCTATAACGCGAATTTCAAATTTCACGCTCAAATGTCTCGCATTACGCGAAAGAGTGCGTATAAACATAATGCAGTCATTAACTTCTCTATGGCTACTTTTAATGGACAAAGATAGAAATAGCATACTTCCATTTCCTTCTACATCAAATGACGCTTCCTATAATGGGGATGTTTCCTAATGTTACAAATCCAAATAAAGTTATGTTTAATATTTTAAAAGCATTTTATAACCTATAATAACATTTAGAGACCTTGAATGTTTGTCTCAAATTAAATATAAATTAAAAACGCTGCAATATTTTTTACCCTCCATTACTCGATCTCAAACACCAATGACGTCACTTTCTTGCATATAACATGGCAGTGTGACCAACTTCAGTGAATGTCAGTGCATTTTGTAGTTATATTTTTTTCTAAATGATTGTAATAATTGAGTTTGCGTGTTTTATATTATGAGGACTCCATTATTGAGTGTTTTTATAATTACGACATAAGTTATGAGCAAAACATTTTATGAATATTACAAAAGAAAAATATATCAAAATTCATAAGAGTAGCTTATAGTACAATTTAATTTATACCTGGTCACACTGGTGTAGGACGCAGTCACTGTTTACACACAAACATAATCTTCCACGAGAAGCAACAAGTGTAATTAATGCGTTAAAAGTATCACCTTCTGTTCATTTTGGTTTTTTCATTTTTATCTCCATTACTAAAAACAACTTCAGACAACAAAGATTTACGAGTATTATCAATCAATGGTTCTTTCAAATTGACAGTGACAGGCCATGACGCGAGGTTCGTATGCAAAGAAGTGACGTCATGGGACGTTTTGGGGGGAATTGAAAGAGTTGTTTTTATTTACGTGTTTTTTTTATTGAAATAATGAGTATTATATTTTATACTATTTTTTTTCGTGTTCATACATGGTTTATCTACAAAATAAAGGCTATTCCAAAAATTAGGAAACATCCCCATTACCTTATAAGAAAATGGTGGTGCAAAAAAACTATATTTATTAGAGATAAAAAAGAACTGCTCTTGAGATATTTCATGTACGGTCGCGAATATTCGTGGTGTTTCACGTACAGAAAAATTGCCCTGTTACTTGCATTAAGACAAACTCCGACTGTTCTCGTAAATAACCAAATCGGTAATAGTGAGTTACGCATACGATGGGATAATAATAAAGAAACAAATTAGCAGTATATCACTGACCTTTTTTTTCCTACAAACACATAAAATCTGCGACTTTCAGGTTATTGTTTCGGGTTGCCTTAATGAATACCAAACGTTCAAAAAAAACTGTCCCTGTTGTACCTATGTAGTGTGTAATGTAGTGAAATAATATTTCAGTATTACTTCAAAATGTACAATAAATGCAATTTATTCAGGGTCAGGATGATTCTAAGCGACATTATGAAGAATGAGACAGGATTTGAAAGGATTGTTAGACATTCTTCAGACAAAGTACTTCACCTTTTAAATATTTTAAATGAGTACAATCCGGATGTTGTGAAAAAAGGCAGTAAGTTCATCTAAATCTATACTATTATAATAAAGCGTAAACACACAATTCTTTGTTGCCTAGGATGGCAGCAATTACAGCATATTTTTGAACTATTCTCTTTTTAATAGAAAGCCCTACACTTACGTCACACTTTAGGCTATATATTTTCACGCCATTAAGTCTAGGGGGTAAATATTTTGGATAAAAACCCTAATGTGGGAAAGAGACCATAAGTTGCTGCCAACATCAAGGATGCTTTGTCATCATGACATGTCATTTTGGCTTTTGCAATTGATAATTTGACAGATGTAAACAATGAAATAAAATATTCATAATTTCACGCGGATGAAGCCGCCGGAGAACAGCTAGTTCCTATATACAATTTAAGAGAATATTCTAGAATTTTAGAAAACATAACCTTTTTTATTCGTACTGACAGACAATGAATTATTAACAAAAGAAGAAAGACTAATAATTTAGTATGTATGTATAATTAGAGCCACGTTAAAAATTACCTATGTGGTGGCCATTACGATGTTAAAGTTTTTATTTATTTTGTGAAAATTTTGAGAAAGGGAACTAATATTGTAAAATAAAGATAGTGTAAAGAAAAATGTACCTTTTGAGCATAAATTGTAGTTTGTCTATAGCTTAGGACAGCAATTCCCAATCGGGACTAGGTTCACCTGGTTTCTGGTTTCCTGAAACAAAATTATAGCAGAAATGTTTTTCTGGTTTCGGTCGCTGGTTTAGGGTTTTCATTGGAATCCAGTAAGAATTTGGAATTATAGCAACCAACTTATATACACGCGTAATTAATATTTTAGCTCCATTGAAAGTGAACTGCTCGAGGCAACCAATATCGGCAATAATATTCACACAGAAGAGATTTGCTGCAAAAATATTATACAACTTGCTAAAGGACGTGATTGAAGTGAATCCACAAGATTTTGGTTTCTTAAAACACGATTTCGTCGTCGGCTTCAATGTAAATCCATTCAACAATACGAGGGAGCAATCTTTCACGAAGAAACAAAGCCAGCGGGCGTTGCTGAAGTTTGTTAACAAGTTAGTATTGCTGAAAGTTTTAATTGTGATCTTGTATTACATATTGCTTTCTCGCCACTACCCTTTGAAAATAACAAAGACAGAAATATAACTGTCATGCTATTTAGACGGTTAACATACGGTACGTACGTCTACAATTACAAGAGTCGCTTAATGTGACCCCAAACTAATAACTATGGTTTGATTTCCTAAGTTTTCCGCTAAATTTGTTTTAAAAAGATTTGCATTTATTATTCCAGAGATCTGAACACTCTGATTGCGACAAGTATTATAGAAGAAGGCATAGATATTCCTCAATGCCATTTGGTGTTGCGTTTCGACCCGCCCGCGGAATATCGCTCGTACGTTCAAAGTAAAGGTAAGTTTTTTTAACTAAATCAATCAGACGATCGATTACTTCTATTGTTTTTACAATAGAAGCAGCCGTCTAACGTCTAATTGTCTAACATTTTGACTTATACAGAAGTTGTTTTTGAAAATCTTCTGTTAAATTCAATTTACCAATGTTATATGTGTATTTAGGTCGAGCAAGATCATCGGAATCGTCGTACGTAATATTAATATCAAATGAAAATAAAGCCAAATTTATGCGGAAATACGATGATTTTCAAAAAATCGAGCAACACGTGCAAAGGGTAATATGATTTTTTTATCTTTTTTTATATTAAACGTCACGATTGTACAAATCGGGAAACTGATGCTGTTTCACCTAAAATCTACAGTCGTTTTAATATCTAATAAAACCACAGAGATTCAAAAAATACATTCAGGAGGCATAGTTGACACTTCTAAATTAATTGCCAAATATTGCCATTAAATAATATTTAAATTTTACGTATTTTTTGTGAATTAAAAAAATATTCATATTTCGTAAAATAAACTGAACAGTGTTGTAAAAAATAAAACAAACATATCTTACGAAATAAACAAAACAATCTTAAATAAAAATGAAGCGTATTATAATTTTTTTAAATGTTTGTTACATGTCAATACAAGGACACGAGGTGGCACTAGATTTGACAACTAGTATAGCACCTTTCAGAAATCAAATTGGTCTTTGACAACTCACTGCTACTTTATGCGTGCGGCTTCATCCGCATGATATTATGAAACTTTTATTTTATTGTTTACATTTGTCAAATTATCAATTGCAAATGTCAAAATGACATGTCATGATGACAAGCTATGGCACTCTTACTTCCTTGACGTTGGCAGCTTGTAGTTTATGGTCCCTTTTCTCACGTGAAGGTGTTTTCCAAATTATTTATCTCCTAAATTTAATAGCGTGAAAATGTTTACCCTAAAGCGTGTCGTAAGTGTAGAGCTTTTTATTAAAGAGAGAATTATTCAAAAATGTGCTGTGATTGCTGAGATCTTACGCCACGAAGTAGTGTATGTTTACGCTTTATTATATTAGTATATAGATAAGAGGTGGAGTTTGTGTCGTTGCATAGAACAAGGCATTTTTTTCTGAAATTTGAACACTGCGGATTTCCCCGACTGTACAGGAATCTGTAATCACATAAATACTTAATATCTTTTACAGATGTTGGTGGGGAAAACGGACAGTCGTAACGAACCAACGAACAAAGATATCAAAGACAAGTTATATGACGATGAAGAGATACCAACATATGTAACTGAGCATGGAAGTAAGTGAAATATTTTTAGAATGTTTGTCAGCGTTTGTATTTAATTTTGATGTAGATATGATCAACGAGAGATAATAATCAAGGAACTGAACAATGTTGATCGCATAAATTATCATAAAACTAGCTTTCGCCCGCGACTCCGTCCGCGTGGAATTAAATAAAAACAAAAGTGAGAAGCCTATGTGTTCTTCCGTAATATCCTTTACCTATGTCAAATTTCATCGTGATCCGTTCAGCCGTTTAGGCGTCAAACACCAACAAACATCCATCTAAACTTTCGCATATATAATATTAGGAAAGTAATAATAGTTTTGTTGTTAGATGGCTTTACCTGTGAAAATTACTAATCATACTATCATATAGATAATATAAATGCGAAAGTTATAATGGATGGATGGATGTTTGTTAGAGTTTGTAGCCTAAACGGCTGAACGGATTTCAATGAAATTTGGTATAGATGTAGAGGATAGCGTGGAAGAACACATAGGCACTTTAGTTTTTATTACTTTCGCGCGGAGAGTCACGCGCAAAAGCCAGTCTTTTAGATTTTTGTATGTATTCAAAGAACTCAAAAACTACTGCTTCGATTTAGAAAATTCTTTCATCAATAAAAAACTACGTTATCAGTAATATAGATTTCTCACCGCATTGCGTGCTTCGTTATTTTTGTTTATTCGACGCGGACGAAGTCGCGAGCAGATAGTAATGGTGTATTGTTTGTACACAGATCGTCTCTCCGCGCAGTCCGCAATACAGCTGTTGCACAGATACTGCTCCACGTTGCCGAACGATCAGTTCACTATTATCGCTCCTATGTGGATAAGAGAGAAAGTTATGCACCGTGGTTTTGAACATGTTTTAATCACAATTTTAATGCCTATAGCTAGTACTATCAAAAATCCCATAAAGGTGAGTTTAAAAAACAAGATACCGAACGTTACATTTGCGAAATGGTTATCGCCTGATAACTATCAGCTCTCATAGAAAATAAATTTCGATAAATAGAGCTCAAAATGTATATGTACATACTTATCGAAGGTTAGTTTTATACATTTTTAACTTTTCTATTAAAAATATCGCTAATGTTACTTTATCTATAGAACTAGTTTCTATATATTTTATCCTATATATCCTCTTTGTATCTGTGAATTGCAGATGTCAATGGGCAACAGTAGCTTCGCTGTTTTGGCGAATTACAGTGGCTTTTTAATCGTTTGTCACATATTTCATTGTTTAAATATATTGTATGTTTGTCAGGGGGAACCGATGCTTGATAATAAATCGGCGAAACGTTCAGCTGCATTAAATGCATGCATTTTGTTACATAAGAGTGGAGAATTAAATGAGTTTACTCTGTTACCGGAAGCTTATAGGTATTTTTTTATTTTTTTTTTGTTATTTGTTGATGTAAATGTTAATATTAATGTATCATGTTGTATACTTTTAGCCGCGTTAACTTCGACCAGTTGGATATAAAGCAATGTTTTCCGAATTGGCCGGAACATGAGGAACGCAACAGTAAAGGAGTTCCCGCTGTCGGAACTAAGAAAAGAATTCGCAAGCACGCTAAAGTCGTAAGTTTCTTTATCCATATCATATGTTTAAATAATTAGATTATAATACAAAATATATAATGTAAGTTTTTTTTCTCTACATCTGCATGCAATGCAAAATTTCATCGTGATCCGTTCAGCCCTGTTAGGAGTTTTCTTATAAATTAAATAAATGTAGTATACGTTACCAGATTTTATATTTTTCCCACGATTCTATTCTCACGGATTAAAAATACTGTAACTAAGTGTTCTTCCAGACTATGTTCTATATCTATGCCAAATTTTACTTAAATCCTTTAAGCCGTTTAGGAGATATATTGTAACATCCATCCATTCCTTCACATTTATAATATTATTTTATTTTTTTAGCCTTTTTGTTCCAGTAAGTGGACCCCATTCTGGATTATAGGCCTCCTCCGGATTATTCCCAACCGTCGCCCCGCTCTGTCCCCACGCGAGTATAAAAAGTTTCATCCGTCCCACCTAGTCCCACTATTACCAATAAGGTGACAGTTCGAACCGTTATGAAATAAGATAAGTTCCTGCCGCCTCCTCGTCGCAGAAGGTGGGAAGGATGAAATATTTTATTCAAATCTGTCCTCACGTGGGGACAGCGGGGTGACGGTTAGGAATAATCCCTTCCTCCAACCTTTTCCATAAGTTTTAGTAATATGACGTTTTTATTTGAATACTTGTAGTATCCCGCGGTACTGAATGGCCCGTGTACCTGGGCGTATGGGCAGAACACGTTCTACCTTCACATAATAGAGTTGAAGGCGGCGTTCGCGGCGCCGGCGGAGTCCCGCGAGCGCGCGCTCTACGAGCTGCTGCAGCGAGGGGAGGGCTACGGCTTGCTGAGCTGCAGCCCGCTGCCCCCGCTCTGCGACTTCCCCATGTTCCTCGACCTCGGGGAGGTCACCACCTCCATTCGAATCAATTACGCCAAGATCGATGTAGACTTGGATTTATTTGAATTTATCAAAGAGTAAGTGGCTTTCCATAATTTGCCTAATTTTGATAATCACTCTGATACTAGCTTTCGCTCGCGACTTCGCGTGCGTTGAATTAAAAAATAACAAAAGCAAGTAGCCGCCTTGTTCTTCAAGATCCGTTCAGCCGTTTAGTTTACAAACATCCATCCATCCATCCACCTAAACTTTTGCATTTAAATTAGTAAGATACGCAATACAAGCTAACACGCAAACAAGTGTTAAGGTAAATGTTGAAACGAATTTAAAACATTTCGCTTGAAATTTGGAAGATGTCAAAATTTAAATGAAATTGGCACTTTTAACGTGATTTCATCATTAAAGACGCTATTATATAATTTAAATGTTTCAATATTCGACCATTAACGTATAACGGCTCAATGACCAATATTTTTATATCTGAATCTTACGTCTTCGTCATTTTATGTTTTAGAAACATAGAAAAAAATACGATTCGATTCTTATAATTTCAGATTTCACTATTTTATATTCTATCAAGTTCTCGAGGTTGCCAAAAAGTTTCTTGTTTTCGATGGTACGAAGAACAGCTTGTACGTTGTGCCTGTTAAAGACGACGGCAATGGTTACGACATCGACTGGAATGTAATACAACAGTATAAAGGAATCCCGCCTGTTGCAGTGCCCACTTTGGAGGTGAGAAATATAACAACTTATACGTTTATAGTAGAGTTGTAACGGAACTTCCGCGTCCGCAAGTGCGGAACTTCCACAAAAAATTACGACTCCGCATCCGCTTCCGTTATTTTATAACGGAGGTTAATTTACGTCTTTAATGCGAGTGGGGCGATTAGGTAACGTTTATGCTGCCCGCGCGGGCGGGATATGTCAACTAACTATAATTGTTATACATTATGTTTGCACAATAAACTGTATTTTGTCATTATGCACCAATCTGTATTTTGAATTAACATAATTTTAGTTTTTATTTCTTTATTAAATTGCAATTAATATTTTATTATTGACCTCCGCTTCCGCAGAGGTGTAGCCCTTCGCCTCCGCAACCGCATCCGTTTCCGTTAAAATGGCGTCCGTTACAACTCTAGTTTATAGCAATACTATAATCTATACTAATATAATATAACACTGCATGTTTTTGAATAACATTTTCTTAAATGAAATTCTTACACTCACGACAGGCTTAAAATTATCACGCTATTATACTTATGGGGCTTGTAAATTAGTAAAAAAATCTGCGAGACAAAGCCAAAAATCAATAGTAGTAATCACGTTTACGGTTTTCAATCTTTAAATTTTGACTTTTAAAGTTTGTCTAAATAAGGATGAACAGTTTCACAATTTAGTAGGGATGAGTTGTGTAAAAGCAGGTATTAATCTTATTGATATTCGATTTTTACTTTCATAGAAGTTTGAATCGATAAATCACAGTTATACCTTATGGATTAAAAATAAAAAACATTGTTTCTTTCATTCGGTTTTTGAAAAAATACAGAATGTATACAAAGATGAGCGTCTATTATTAGTAATAATAATCTATTATAATTATTACTAATGCGTTCATGCATAATTTAAGTGAAATTCGTTATCATTGTCATCGCATCGTATTCTTTATTTAGGTAAATTATATTTTTAGTTCGATGTTTTTTTTATGTTTAAACCGAATATCGATAGTTCACAGTTATTCGCTATGTGCTTATGTTCCGTCACTATGATACGCGTATATTAAGTACGGTATTTACCTTCATACAAATTTAACTTAACATTTTATATGCGTGAATAATCAAACTAATCGACCTTATTTAGACAAACTATAAATGATGATTGCAATTGAAAGTTTTCTATACGTCATGCGGAAGAAGTGAAACGAGAATGGCTGGTCGTTAGATAAAACTTTCATTGGACATTTTTGTTTATCTTTGAACTCCTGACCGAAAGTTGAATACCAGGAGCGCAGAGCGGTGAAGGCGACGAGGGAGAGCTACCAGTACAGTGTGGTGTCGCCCTGGTACCGCGCTACTATCTTTCCGGACAGGTTTGTTATTTCTTACTATTAATGTATCTTATTATTATACTAACTTTCGCCCGGGACTCTTTCCGCGTGGAATAAAAAAAAAACGAAAGTATATATGCGTTATTCCAGACTTTACTCTTAATTTATGCTAAATTGCATCAAGATAAGTTCAGTTTAGGCTACAAATTCTAACAAATATCTATCCAAACTTTCGCACTTATTATATTAATAAGAACTAAGCTTATTGTATAGTACTTTAATTTTTTTTACTTTATAGCGCCTTAGATTTATAACATTATGCTTATCTTTTATCCCCTTCTTTTCTCATCTCCCTGTCCGTATCCTACGTGGGGTCGGCGTATCAAGATTTTATCCACTAGATCCTTCATTTACTTTAAGAATTGACATTACAATATTGTATTTATTTTGTATTTTGTATTTTTTTGTAGATATATCGTGTCCGACGTACTGGAGTACATGAGTCCGCAATCGCTGTTCGGCACGGACACGTTTGGGACATACGCCAACTACTACTCAAATAAATACAACTTGGAAATAGAAGGAGAGAGAAGTCAACCACTGCTAGAGGTATGTATTAGAATATAGATTTTTTCTCATATGAATCATGGTCTGGAACATCTGGAACACTACAGGAACTGCAGATGTAAAATTTTGGTACGCTTGCTTCTTGACGGACACTTTCGTAGTTTTTATACAAATATAAATCGTAAATTCACACTTCTTATTATGTCAAAAGTCAAGAATCACAATATGTTTTTGTTGTGGATCATTCTTTTTTTAATAACCCCTTACAATAATGTCAATGATGTGTTCTTCCAGACTACCTACTATATATAAGCCAAATTTAATCGAGATCCATCTAGCAGTTTAGGCTACAAACTAACATCCGTCCATCTATAGTTTTAACATTTAGTAATATTATAAATAAAAAAGTAATCGATTAATTTATTCCAATAAATGTATATTCTTTACCCGTACTGGGAATACGAAAAACCAGGTCCGTAGCATCAGCACTCGCATGAACTGCTTGCTGCCGAGGTCGGCCACCATCAAGTCCCTGTCGGAGAAGCAGCGCAAGCTGATCAGCGCGGCGCAGGGCGACGACAGCTCCAGAGGTTTTACCGAAATATTCATACCCGAGTTCTGCATAAAGTACGAATACCCCGGCGTGTTGTGGTACAAGGCTACCATACTACCCAGTATAATACATAGGTAATTTTTTTTGTACGTAATTTTAATTCTGTATGAATTCATTGCTGGTTTGTTTTTACGTACGTACGTTTATTTATAATTAGCTTGCGCCCGCGACTCCGTCCGCGTGCAATTGAAATAAACAAAAGTGAGTAGCCTATGTGTTCTTCCAGAGTATCCTCTACATCCACACCAATTTTCATCGAAATCCGTACAGCCGTTTAGGCTACAAACTCTAACAAACATCCATCTACACTTTCGCATTTATAATATTAGTATGATTAGTTACAATAAGGAAAAAAAAAATACAATGTCTTACAAAACTTTGTAAAATGTGACTATAAGATTGATTTAATTTTAAGTTAAATTATGTAAAAAATGGTTGATAAGATTTTTTTTATTTTAATTCTATTTTTTCACACCTTACTTTGGGTACTACATTTATGTGTAAAAGTAGGTAAGATTGGATTTTTTTTTACAATAACTTAGTGAATTCGCTCTTCGTGTTATTTGTAATTTTGTATTTAAGTTTTCTTTGTTTTATTTTTTGATAATCAATTTCATTCAAATTGTTATAATTCGTAAAAGAAAAATTTTACATAGTGCAAACTTATTTTATCGAGATCTACTCAGTCGTTTTGGAGATACATAGTAATAAACATCCATACATCAAAATGTTCGCATTTATAGTATGATGTGTGAGATTTTAACTGCTTTATAAATATTCCAGGGTTCACATGTTACTGTTGGCGGAGGAACTTCGTGTTGAAATCGCAACAGCCACTAAATACGGACAGTTGACATTGAATAAAGGTAAATTTAGTGCTTTTTATGACATAACTGGCTTTCGCCCGCGACTCTGTCCGCGGATAATTAAAAAAAAAATCAAGTAGTCTATGCGCTCTTCCAGACTATCCTCTACATCTATACCAAATTTTATCGAAATTCGTTCAGCCGTTTATGCTTCAAACTCTAACAAACATCCATCCACCTAAACTTTCGCATTTATAATATTAGTATGATAAATCATATACTTGTTACTCTATACATTTGTTAATATGATTTTCGTACAAAATAGGCGAGAAATGGGAACCGGTCAGAGTGAATATAGAGGTCGCGAAAAAGTCCCTGTTATCTCAAGTCGAGGGCCCCGAAGAAAAGATGGCCGCCCTCAAAAATACCGTGGACAGGTAACATGAAAAGAATTTTAAAAAATCAATCATAAAATACTATCTTCATTGTGATTTATAATATGTAACTTTTTGCTTTAGTCCTTGCAATATTCGTTTAAATTTTATGATATTCATTTACTCATTTATTTATTTACTTATTTATAACTAGCTGTTCCCGTGCGACTTCATCCGCATGGAATTATAAAAATTTTATTTTATTGTTTACATTTGACAAATTTTTATCCAAAATATTTACCCCCTAAGTTTAATGGTTTGAAAATATATAGCCTAAAGCGTGACGCTAGTGTAGGGTTTTGTTATTCAAAAATATGCTGTGATTGCTGACATCTTAGGCAACAAAGAAGTGTGTGTTTACGCTTTATTATAATAGTATAGATAGAAATTAAAATATGACGAGAAAAAATAAATATAACTAAAGTTACATTATCAATTATATATTTATAGGCTAACACAGCTTTATAATAAAAAAAAATTACAAAACAAAGATTTTTTCAATATTAATAGCATATGATAGTATTCGATTATAAATCTGAGACGGCTTGTTTTCATTATTTATTACTAGCTGTTCCCCTGCGGCTTCATCCGCGTAAAAAAATAAAATTTTTATTTTATTGTTTACATTTATTAAATTCACAATTGTAAATGTCGAAATACCAATTATCTTACTTCTTGATGTTGGCAGCACGTATCGTATCTTTCCCAAATTAGGGTTTATATCCAACATATTGACCCCTAAGTTTAATGGCGTAAAAAAATATAGACTTAAGTGTGACATAAGTATTGGGATTTTTATTAAAAAAAAGCATTATTCAAAATTGTGCCGTAATTCCTGATATGTTATGCAACAACAAATGTGTGTTTACGCTTTATTATAATAGAACTAGATGTCGTCCGCGTGATATAAAAAAAAAAAAACAA